AGCTTGTCAAACCCTGTTTAAGTTGTGATTATTGCTCATCAATAGTAATAGAAGATAAGTCCTCATCCGATCATAAGAAGCTTAGATTTAGCATTAAGAAGAAGGTTAAGGTGGTTAAACAAAAAATGAAAAATGAAGTCAGGGCTATTGACCATGTTAAATTTTGAACACTTTTCAATCAGAACATTATTAGTGAAATACAAACATTCCAAGAGTTGAGTGACATTATTAATTCATGTAAGGCTAAGGCAGAGTATCTACATTAAAGTTATTCGTTGTCATGAAAATAATAAGTGTGTCAACAATGAACTTCTGGATTTTGTATAAAAAACAACTCGAGCAACGGGTGCTCAGTGTGGAGTAGAGAACTTTAAAAAACAAAATAGGTAACCAATAAATATAAAACCTTAAGAAACCAATACTTTAGAAACAAATGGGGCGAATGTGGGACTGACACTAAAAAACAATGGCGGTTCATCATAAATAGTCTAGTAAAAGAAAAAAAAGTCTAACAATTATTGAAACTTTGAATGTTGATAATCAGGAAATAAATGAACCATCAGCTAAAATTAATGAATTAAACAAGCACTTCGCAAATGTAGGTAAAAACATTGTACATGAGATAAATACTCACATTGCTAGTTTGGGGCATCAGGACAAAAATGATCATGAGTTCAACGAAATATATTGTGACAATACAGCCTTTTTAGCAGTATGTGATGAACAAGAAATTACTAGTACTATATTACATCTAGAGAAGACTTCTGCTCCTGGTCACGACTAAATAACAGTCCGTAACATACTAAATATACAGAATAACGTTGTTACGATATTAACCAAACTGGTCAATACGTGCCTTTTAACTGGAATATTTTTAGTGGAACTCAAAATAAATAGAATCAGCCCCATATTCAAGTCCGGATGTAAAAAGTCTATGAATAATTACCGACCTATCAGTGTAATAAGCGTTTTTTCAAAAATTGTTGAATGTGTATTAAAAAAAGAATGATGTCCTCTATCAACAAATACGTGCCTATGGATGAATATCAATACGGTTTTATTGAACATAGTAGCACACAAAGCGCAGTAGGTAATTGACTTGATTAACAAAGTTTCTACTAATTTCGATAGGGGTAAAGTAGTGATAGCGATTTTTATAGATTTACAAAAAGCATTTGATGTTGTTAGTAGGGATATTTTGTTGCAAATATTACATGAAATGGGTTTTAGAGTCAAATGTATAATATTATAAAATCATATTTGTTGGATAGGAAACACTATGTGAAATTGGGCATAGATTCAAGCCAAATAGAAAACTGTGAATATGAAGTACTACAGGGCAATGTCCTTGGTCACATTGTATTCCTTTTATGTATTGGGGTCTGAAAAATGCAGGATTAGTGGGTAGATACTATACATTTGCCGATGATACAGTCCTAGTTTATGATATTGATGACGTAGAGAATATTGAAAACATTGTTAACGTTGATCTAAAATGTCATACTGATTGGTTATTGCATAATAAATTGAAAATCAATATAGATAAAACCATATTCATGCTATTTAAAGGGGGTGTGACCCTAAACAACGACTTAAACTACTTAAATCAAGAAAAAAATTCTAAGATCTCTCGTGAAAACCGCAGTCTTATATTCAAAATAGTCTCCGAGAAAATTCGTTGTGAAGATAAATTATGCAGGAACTTGTGATGTCACAACCGCCGAAATCGCAGTCTTCTGTTCGTTCAGTCGTCAGTGAGCCGTACCCCATACTTTGAGTGGTTGCAATTCGCTCTAAGAGATAATTTTCTTCTGTTTTGGAAAATTCTTACACATGTTAATACTGTCCCTGATAATCCAGTGTGACGTCACAAATACCTAGTTTTAACTTTAAACCACCCTAACTCGAAAACGGACCATCGTAGCAAGATGCGGTTTAAATATTTATTCTTAGATTTTTTTTCACTAAAACTTTCATTTTTGGGTCACATCCCCTTTAAGCAAACAAATAAAATTGTACAAATGACTTCTATAAAAATATATAATATACAGATTGAACATGTAACAAAAACAAAATACCTAGGACTGCTCATTGATGATAAACTTGGCTGGACTGATATATAAGCTTAATAGAAAGTAAGATTGTGCCAATGTTTAGGGATTTGTATAGGAATAGGAGTTATTCCTCATTTAAAAGTAAACTAGATTTTTACAATGCTTTCTTCTTGACGTACTTTAGATACCTATCTGATTACGGTATGGGGGACGTGTGGAATTGTGAATCTAAATTCAATGCAAATCTTGCAAAACAAGGTGTTGAAAATCTTATTTGAGTATCACTGGTTGACAAACACGTCGGACCTATACCGTAGCTTGGGGGTCTGGCAGCTTGACAAAGTATTGCAGCTGGAACAATGTAAACTTACATATAACATTAAAAACAAAACTCAAAAATCAAATATCACATTCACATATTCCAGGGATATCCACGCACATACTACTAGGTCAAGAGATAATATATTTCACACCAATATTGAAAGTAATGAAGGTTTGCAAAACCCAATATACCAGACGTCAAAGAGTTATGATTCTCGCCCAGAGAATATTAGGAATATAACAAAATATGAAAAATTTGTAGAACAAACTAAATTATAAATAAGTTTGCATACGTAACCTCCAATGTAGTTCATATTAGTGGGTTGTGTTAGTGCTTATTTTCTTCATTTTTACTGATTAGGTTTTTTGTTCCTATTGCAGAACTGTTGAAAATTAACTGGCGTTATTATCCTTTGGTACCAGTGTTTTAATACACTGTTTGAAGGATTTAATGTGAATTGTAATGTAAACAACAATTGCTTACCTAATAAAGGTTTTTTAAAAAAAATGTTGGCCAAATAAAATGGACATGAAATGGTGAAATGGCTAGCGAAAATAAAGGAAGTAACTCAAAAACAATACTGATTCCTATTTCACTGAGACTGAGAAAGTCTCAAGGTGGATGATTTGTCTAAGCAAAAATTAATTTTTACATTTATATAACTGCAATCCAGAATCTTTAAAACTTCTTTTTAATTATGCATCAAGACGAAGTGTAAGCATGGCAAATAACATAGTAAGAGTGGCAAGTGACAAGATTTGTTCCAGGAAACCTTGGATTTACATGCCAAGAAGTGCAAAATAGGGCTTAGGCAAATCACTTAACTGATTTTGCGAATATTTTCTATGTAACCATACAGTCCTGGGTGAACCACTCACTAGCAATTCTCTATCCCGACTGCACATATTCAAAAAAATTCCATTTTCATATCTGCGGTTTCATGATCACCCACTCGCCCCCTATCATCCCTGAAAAGTTCATTTGGGTAGGATTTTTTTTTTTTTTTTTTTTTGTAATGCATGTATTTTTCGTCAATTTTCCTAGACTAAGACGACACAGAAGTTATCCATTATGTTCCTAGGACCATAAAAATCTTTATGTATGTGGTAATTTGTTCGATTTTTTCTCGCTGCTGCGTCAATCAGCGCTAGTATGTTCTTGTAATTAATTTCGCATGTTTTTTTCGCTAGATGGCAGCGTCAGCGACCAAGTTCTTAAGAGCATAATTTTTTTAGATAAGAAAAAATTGTAGGAAATGTAATCTTATAAAACTCTTATTAGGAGAATTTTTTTGTGAAAAAATAAAAAAACTTTAAACTACCCCATTGAAAAACGGCAGGTGAGAAAAAACTTCATAAAGCAAAAACGTTGAATGTGTTGTAGAAAATTTTTCCACGTTGGTTAAAATTTTTTATTTTCATTATAAATTTCAAACGGCCCTTGTGACCACAGACGGTCCTTAATCAAAAAAGTCTTTAGATAAACATTGTAGATTAATAATGGTGCACATCTTTTATCCGAAACATTTTTTTGTAAAATCAATAGCTACCAAGTAATCGCCAATGGCGCACTTTCAACCCCTATAGCACAAAACGCCAGAGGGGTGAATATGTGATATCTTCGGTTTTATGATCACTCACCCGCCCCCTATCATCCCTGAAAAATTCATTTGGTTAGGAATTTATTTTTTTGAAAATCGACAATTTTCCTAGACTACCTTATTGACGACAATAAAATTGAAATTATGGACCGCTTTTAGATAAAAATTATCATGTTCGTGTAATTTATGCCTTTTATTCTCGCTGGATGGCAGAACGTCAATGAACACTATTAGGTTTATATTATTTGCTCGTTTTCTTCTTGCTATATGATGAGAATTGCCTAGCTCAGAAATTAGCTGCAAAGAGTATAATTGGCACTAATTTGTTCGTTTGACATTTTATGTTCAACATTATGCATTAAATTATTAAATAAATAAAGCGAGGGCATAAAAAATAAGGACAATCAAGTAAGGCACGCATTTTCAATTGGAAAGTTCAAGTACCTACCTACCTATTTACTAGGAGAGTCTAACTAAACCACTCTTTGAACTTGGAATGTACAACCGGCCCTTAATGTGTGTTTCCGTTCACATGAGCGTCCATGTTCGCAGTGACATATTTATTGATTTGACATTTAAAGTAAACAAATACATCGTAAATTAGTTGCAGCCTTTTATTTCTCCGAAAACGGATGAAAAAGGCTATTAAATGTGAAAAAGGTGATTAAGTTGTGAAAGGAAACATTGCAGTGCCTTGAAGATAAATTGTTGTACCTATACCATTCGGCCCAGAAGGTCTTTTTGTGCTTCGGTTCAAACGTTGACCTCAACTCAAAAAGACTCATTTCTTGTCCTAATGACATAAATATTGAGAATGCCAAACCTGAAAATATCCAGTAAACTTTTTTACCCTTAAGCCTCTCGGATATTTTCTAGTTTGCACAACTTTTCTAAACTTGTCCGGAAGGTTACCGTGGTATGTAAATACCAACAAAGCCACTTGGTTGCTGCTCTTACGGCAGGCCCATAATGATTATTTTCAAATGCATTGGAATAATTTTCCATATTTATTTCATATTTTCAGAATCCCAAACCATTGAAGATTTCGGAGCGGCACTTCACCTGATGCGGTCTGACCTGGAACACTTACGTTCGGTATTTATGGCCGTCGAAAATGGAGACTTGGGAATGCTTAAATCTCTCGGTATTAAGGATTCCGAGTTGGGAGACGTAAAGTTTTTCCTGGAGAAGTTGGTTAATACGGGATTTTTAGATTGAGGTTGGCTTGACCCTGCTGCTGAAATAGTTTACGCCCACCCACAGCCACATTTGCCATTGAGCAAACATTTCTACTCCTACCTCCCCTAAATCAAATGTCTGTTTAAAACATTTGCCTGACGAACTTAGATTGAATTCAACGATGTGTTAAAAAAAAAACTTGATCTAAGAACTTCAGACAATTATTAAGATCATTCTTTTCGTGTGGTGACCAACAAGTTGGAGATCAATAACAGACATCAACCTACAAATCCCAGTTATTAATAATAATACGTACATAAAGCCATATTATATTTTATCAGTAGTTTTAACTTTATCTTATAAAATGAAATAGGGTGAGGAAATAGAATTAAAACTAGACACTTATTTTATTCTGCTTTGGTGCAACAACCACCTTGGTCACCTTTTCAAATCATCTACATCAGCAGCAGTGTCGGTTTTAGATTTCCGTCCCCCCTTTATTTTTGTAAAAAAATTGTCGAGGGATGCAAATGTATTTTAATTCATTAAGTACCTAATGTTAGAAAGCCCCTTATAATTGGTTTTTTGGGGTCAATGATTTTAATCCAGAACTTAGCTTAGGCAGATGTTCTTGTTCAAAAAAAGAATATCACTATAGGCGCAGTTTGAAACTTAGATTTAGGAAGACATTTCAAACGTATTTAAACATATCAAAGCCTGCAAATGTAACATATATCCAATGTGCTATTTGAGGCTAGAAACTAAAACATATCATATAGAAACGTATTATATTGTAATATCCTTTTAGTATAAATCATTTATAATATAAAAGTGCATTGTGATTAGAGCACTACCTTTTAACAAATATTTTTGTCTTCTATTGATACTTTTAGAAAAAAAGTAATTATAACGATATTTTTGAAAAAGGTTTTTTAGAATCGAACTTAGCTCTATAACCATAATTAATCTGGATTGGAAGCTCGATGAGCAGAGTTAGATCAATAGAAGACCATATTTTATTAATCATTGTAAACAAGAGAACGTTTTGTAACTCTTGGCGCAGTCTAATCTTTTCATTGCACATATCAGAGGTTATTAATGAACTAGCACTGAATTATTATTATTATATTTATGTAATCTAATTGAGAAGTTGTTTAAAACAAAATTAGAATGGTTGTGATTTTTTTGCAAATCTTTCTCGGTGCAGGACAAAAACTTACAACGATTCTGTATTAAATCACCTAAATAGCTGAAGAAAGATGGTTTATGTGTTGCTCCAACTCACCAGGGCCTAAGTTGGAGCTTCTACATCGCTATCTACCTATGGATTTACTTCTCTATGTGTTATATTGTGATCGATGTGAATATGATGTTGGTAACCCATGTCTTTCGTCTAGATAACGACCTGACACTTACTATCATACGACGAATTACATGAGCCACATCATTTTTAAATAAAACAAAGCACAATCATATGATGTACCGCACGCAAAACTATATCTAGATTTTTAGTCATGACATAAAATATACTTACATTTATCTTTATCAAAGTATTACTTCTACATGTATTTCTATTTCTATTTAGAATGTTATACTACGGCTGATTAAAAATATTGTTTTTTATATAATATGACACACTACAAGGTGTCGGAAATTTCCCAAAACAATTCAATGGAGGCTTCAGGTATTCCTTGAAGTGCATTAAGAATTTTTGCTAAGGCATAACAAGCAAATGCCATTTAATCATCAAATACAGGTAAAAAAATGAACGTCAATTTATAATATTAATTTAAGTGTATGAAATTATTGGTCGATTTTTATTACTCTTCGCTGCTATGCAATTTATAATAATAAAAAAAAAATATTGTGGAGACTTTTTGACGAATAGATATAAAGATATATAAAAAAATATATATTTTTTCAACTAACCTATACAATCGGCATGACATACTTAGGTATCTTAAGAACATTATTCCGAGCCCGAAATCCTATAAAAAAACTGAGCAGTTCTTGTTTGAATCCAAAGGCTATAGTTTTCCTTAATTGTACCTACCTGTTATTTTTTAGCAAAATCTTTATTGCATGTTTCATGTTAGGTATTTAGTACATTGCTTGATATTGTTTAAGTCTAATAGGAAAGATTGAAATTTTATTTTAGGTTTCTTAGAGCTATTTTTTATTTATAGCACATGAACGCATCTACACCGATTTATTAACTTTGACAATGGCTCTGAGGCAAGGTATACGTCAAGATAACGACCTGACATTTACCACCTTTCGGACGAATTACTTGCCTTCTACGCCATCTGCATTGAGTGAACAAATCACAAATTTAATGAAAACTGATTGTTTTCACGAAGTTTGCGGGTTTTTAGGTGAAAATGAACTGAAACAAACGATTCAAATTTAAATTCATTAATTCTGTATTCCTAATTCCTAATAGGCTTAAACGAACCTTTATTGATTTTTAAAACATGTTATTTAGTATTTAGTTTGGATGCGAATCAAATTTCACCATTATTTTTCAATGTATGCGGTATTGTATTATGTATACAATACATGTCATAGTTTTGTCACACATTGTAAGTACTGATATGATGTACTGATATAAACGTACCGGTCATTACAAGTAGAAAGCAGCTAAGTACCACTCTGCAGATCAACTCTTACAGGAAATTTAAATCTTGCTTGCACAAGAAGGATCCTCATTGGAGTTTGCAATATATCTAAGATTTGGAACTTAAATCTAGCTTTCACTTTAACTGTACCAATTTCTGATAAAGTGAATTTTCTTAATAAACACATAATACGTAATAATTGTTTGTTTTGTTTCAAATTTCCTCATACCTGTTCCCTACTTTGGTGCATCGGTAGTAAGTATAAGTAGGTAGGTAAAAAGTTAGTTTCAATGTGAGACTTCTTTTAGCTAATATGAAATATGAGTCGATAAAAAAAAGAAACGCTGAAACATATGAAACGAAAAAACACCATTAATAAAAGATAAAATAACGTTTTTATGAATATAAGCGGAGCAACTAAAAAATGTTACAAGTGATAGTATATTCTAAGTAGTTTCTACTCCAAGATTGAATTTTGTTTATTGAATAGGATCCCATAAGTTGTAAAAGAAGGTAGGGCCAATAGTCCTCAGAAATATACCTAAACTAACAAACTCAAGCTTCTGGCAGGTTGCACTTGAAGTTGTCAATGTAAGTAGGTAGGTAATGTAGGTTTTATCACGAAAAGAAGCAGGGATTTCAACATTTGCCAATTTGACCATTATTTAAAATACACTATTCATAAACGAACAAAAAAACTGGATCAAAAAAAAAAACACCACTGTGGTCATCAGATGAGTCGTCGCCAGTATTATTTTCTCGTGTTTTTTTTTTTTTTTCAATGTGCGACAAAGTGGCAGCCGAAAAACTTCATGTCCACATTTTATGTCAAGAAGAACTAATATATTTTTTCGCTGTCTACTCCGTTTGAATTCCCGCCGATTTTTTAAGATACAGGGTATTGCTATTGCTACAGAAAAGTTTTATGTGCTAATCGAATATTTTTGTTTATTTCTCTAGAAATGATTCCAATGAAGAATTCAAGTTTGTTCTACCAGTACACATTAAATATTGAGGTACTTGGACTATTTTTAATGATAAAAACTGTAGAATATTATTTGATAGGAGGTCCATGGCAAAAAACATCGATTTGTTTTTCCGATATTTTGCCATCTAATCCTACTTTTCGCGTTACCATATCTAAATTTTCGAATTTGCCGCCACAACAGTAATCACGTGATCGATGTCAAAATGTATTTTTAGGTTATCGGACATGCAGGATCGATCGCACATAAGAAAAAATTCCATATCCTACAAATGATTTTCTTTTCCATATGTAGCGAACATTATGGGGGACACTATACAGGGTGGCCCATCGAAAACAGTCCAGCAAGATTTTGGGCTTTGTATGTGAAAATTTAAAAAAATCCTCGGACCCGTATGATTTTGTTTTCAGGGGGACATATTTACACATTGATTACATCACAGTAACTTCAACCCCTTAGCGGGGGTGACATTCACCCTTATTTTTTCAAATGGGAAGGGGTATGTTGTGATACATCTTTTGAGAGGGCATTAAATTTTCTTTAAAATGGCGCTTTGTTTTTGAAATTTGTAATATGGGTTGCCGAGAAATTTAATCAAATTAATATTGATTAGTACTTACGTGTTATCTTATTAACTGTTCAAAATGTCCGCCGTTCACCTCCATACAATAGTACAGCAACTGTTCAAAGTGTGCTCGGACATTGTGAAGAATATCAGGTGTAATTAGTCGACATTCATTGGTAATGTGGATCCGTAAATCTTCTAAGGATTCAGGCTGGGTGGCGTAACTTTTCGATTTCAGATGTCCCCACAAAAAAAAATCAAGGGGAGATAAATCGGGTGATCGCGCGGGCCATTCGATAGCACCCCTCCTTCCAATCCATCCAGGAAAGTTTTTGTTCAAAAACTCCTGTACAGCTAATGCATAATGGGGAGGAGCCCCATCTTGCTGAAATATCGGATTTACTTCCTGATAACGTTAGTCGTTTTCCATAATTTCGATCAGTGCTGGGTTGACGGCATGCTCCAGCAAGTCTAAGTAAGTATCTCCATCCAAATTTCCCTGTATGAAATATGGCCCAATAATGTGATCACCAAAAATACCAGCCCAAACGTTTAATTTTTGAGGATGTTGAGTATGAGCCTCATGGTAAAGCCTTGGATTCGTGTCGGACCAATAACGACAGTTATGTCGATTAACAGTGCCATTGAGAAAAAATGAACATTCGTCTGAGAAGCAAACATTAAAAAGGTAGTTGGGAGTATGTGTAATTATTTCGGACATTATTTCACAAAATTGTTATCGACGGTCATTATCCTTGACCCAGAACAGCTACTTCTACTGCCTCATTTCTCACCGGATTTTCAATATCCCGTTTTCTGTTTGTCACTGAACCAGTTTGCCGGAATTTTGTTACTAGTTCTAGGACGTAACCATGATGCACGTTTCTTTCTGCATGCCTCTCATTGAATAAAGTTGCCTTGCACATTGATTGTTAATAAAATACAATTCAATAATTTCCACTCTCTCCGCAATAGAATAAAGCATTTTTTATCGAATGTACACCAAAGAAAATCACAGAAATATTGAACTATCCACATCAACTACTTCACCGAAGATAAAGTTGAATTGTCGACTGATACTTGTTAGTTTAAAAACGATTTTTTGTTCACGAACCTATTTGTAAATAAGAGATGCAGTAAAATGTTTGAAATTCCATTGCTCGGCCACGCGTAGCTCAAATTTAAATAACGAAGCGCCATTTTAAAGAAAATTTGATGCCCTCTCAAAAGATGTATCACAACATACCCCTTCCCATTTGAAAAAATAAGGGTGAATGCCATCCCCGCTAAGGGGTTGAAGTTGCTGTGATGTAATCAATGTGTAAATATGTCCCCCTGAAAACAAAATTATACGGGTCCGAGGATTTTTTTGAATTTTCACATACAAAGCCCAAAACCTTGCTGGACTGTTTTCGATGGGCCACCCTGTATATACCAACATCTAGGGCTTCGCGAGACCAGAAGACTAGCTAGCCTTGGTCTTGTCTTGGTCTTGATAGCAAGACCAAGACCAAGACCTAATAAATCTTCTCCAGACCAAGACCAAGACTTTCTTGGACGACTTGGAATTTCCAAAAAAAACTATTAATTAGGTAATAAATTCAATAAAATTCAAATGAGCACTGTGACTATGTGAGGGTTCTCGAAAACCTTTGTCTGGCCTGAATACTCAGGTAGGTAAGGTAGGTTTATTCTCATGGTTCAAATAGAAATTTATTTCTTTCCTCCGTACAGAATGGCAATTTTATATTGTGTTTGTGAACTTTCCTGTTCCGTTAATAAAAATTTTAATTTAAGAATTGATGTTTGTTTGTTCCTCTGTGTTGTGGAATGCTTTATGCGGTATTTTTTGACATGAAACGCTCTTGTCGGTGAAAATAGCCTCTGAAGAAGATCAAATGCTTGGTCGAAACGTCGGCATAATTTTTTCAGAAAGGGAGTTTTATTTTTTATTTCTGAAGTCCTGAACCTATTAACTCTGCTCTGTCGTTATATGTTATGTATATTTTCAAAATTTGGTATAAATTTTTTTCAAGACTATCAAGATCAAGACCAAGACTGAGCCAGTCTTGTGTTGGTCTTGAAACATTAAGACCAAGACCGCATTTATTTTCCGAAACCAAGACCAAGACTCCAGTCTTGGTCTTAGGCTTGGTCTTGCGAAGCCCTACCAACATCCTATGCCGCCATTATCATTTTGCTCTGTGGATCAGCAATCACAGTGATCGGAGACGCATCCGGCACAATGGCCACCCTGAGGAGACCAGCGAACATTCCAACGGTGTATGAAGCCAGGACCTCTTGGTTTGACCCTGGAAACCCCGGGCCTCTTCAGCACCGTTGCTGCCCTCTTCGATGCAGGAGTTTCCCCCCCCCCCCCTGTTCCGAATTGGCGCTTAGGCTTTTACCAGAGCCCTGGCCATAGTTCATTGGACTTTGCTGCACCGCGTCTTTTCTTCTCAGATTTCGAAGAGGGATCACCAGTCACTTGGCTTGTGAGTATCACTTTTTTAAATAATCCGACGTCAGACCTTTTATAGATTTGTTGCCCTTTTCCTTACAAAGCCGACGAGTAATCTAGAACTGAATGTTCGCCCGCACAGAGCTGGTATGTATGGGTAAGGCTAGACAAGTGTAAGGTCGCATCTGGCATCCCAGGGCACCGTTCCAGATAATAACCTATGTACAGGGTGATCCAGTATAAAGAGAAGACCCCCTACCTTTCCGCTAAAAAAAATATTCTTGAAAAAGTCAAGATAGCCATTTGGTATATTTTGTTTCTAGAAATTTGAAAACGTTTTTCGAAAATCAATTAGATGTTTCGTTAAAGCGCTGTGACGAAGAAAGTTCAAATGGAATAAATAGCCTATAGTTAAATCAATTTTTGAAACGCCCCTATTTTTCTTATTTCAAATATACATAGTTTGTTAATCTTTTTTTAGTAACTTGTGATATATTTTCACCTAAGATTCAAATAAAAATAGCCGAAAAGGTATCATAAAACATAATAAGGACACTTGCTACTATTTGACAAGCTAGTCATGTCAATTCTAGATGTTCAAGGCTTCCTTCCCACATAACAGTGAGAGAACATTCATATTCTCAGAATATTTCCTCAAAGTGCTTTTTGGAATGTTCTTTCAGGAATGTTTAATGAATATTCTAAGATTGTTTCGATTGAACTATTCATTTTTGAACGTTCTATTTATGTACTAGGAATGTTGCTTCTATGCACCTACCTAAAAGGTTGTGCTAAGAACCTACTTTATATAACATTATTTGAATATTATCATACGAACATTATTATAATGTACCTAAAAAATGTTCTTTCGGCTAATATCTCTATCAAGTATTAAAAATATACCTACCAAGTTGTGCTAAGAAGTTTATGTAGGTAGGTAACCATGATAAGAATATTTTCATATTGTTCACCTAATTAACTAAAGTACCTACTCAAAAATCTTAATTGAACAATTAAACAATAATGCTCTATCTAGAACCTACTAAGAATATTATAGGTACATTCTTTTTTGGCATTGTAGGACTTCCAAGAGAGGGAGCCACGCGCTATTAAATATCTACATCTTGCCTAGCGTTTGAATCACCTTGGAACCTGTTTCTCTCAGTTGGCGTGCTTACCGCGACGAGAGCATAACAATTAACAAGCTCGAAACCGGAGCTCTGGTTAAACACTTGTGTTTTCCAGAGAAGTTTTCCAGCAACTCTTTCACTGCCTTTAATATAAAAGGACTGAAAGGAGCATTATTTGGAAGCGAAAATTAACATTCCAAGTATATCCCTAAAATCAAACAAGAATGTTATGTCTAGAATGCATATTGAGAATGAGAATGATATATGTAGATATATTCTAAAAATATTTCAAGCATATTGGTATAATATTCTTTTGAGAACATAACTATAATGTCATAGAAACATTCTTTGAATGTGAGAATATACATTTAAAGCATATTTTCAGAATCAAACAGGAATATTCTTTTCAGGATGTACTGAGAATCTCATAGGTATATTCTAGGAATATCCTAATGGATTTCCCAGGAAGTTCTTGGGTATTGCAAACAGTATTTCTACAATCTTTTCTCAGAACATTCTCAGGACATTCGCAATGGTTTTGGCGAACATTCTAGGCACATTCCTCCTAAAAAAAGAACATTCTTATTACATTCTAAGGATGCAATTTTGTTATGTGGGTTAAGGTCTGAGGAAACTTCAAGGACCGACTATAAATTCGGCCCTAAATTACACTTTGTCTACTTTATATATTATGAATCTAATCTAGGGTAAATCTAAATAATTTTACCTTTATTAAAACTGCTGGTTATAATGTTTTATGATACCTTTTCGGCTATTTTTTGTAAATTTTGAAGAGAGAATATATCGCCAAATACTAAAATAAAGATAGACAAACTATATATATTTGAAATGAGAAAAATGATGACATTTAAAAAAGATATATTTAAATATACCTAGGTTATTCCATTTAATAAAACTAGTTTTGTCTTCACAGCGCTTTAACGAAAAATCTAATTGAATTTCGAAAGACGTTTTCAAAATCCTATCAACAAAATACACCAAATGGCTATCTTGATTTAATAAGTTTTTTAGCGGAAACGTAGGGGGTGTTCACTTTAGACTGGATCACCATGTACCATTCACTTCTTCAGCACTGTAGCTAACACATAACTTCATCAAATTTATAGAACCCTATATTTTTTATTAGTGTCTTCGTTTATACAGGGTGTTCCTAAATATCATGTACAGACGGAAGGGGGTGATTCTTTGGTTTATTTTATGACTAAAATTTCTAATAAGCATAGGTCAGCAAACGCTTCGGTACCGATCTACAGGGTGTTGAAATTTTAATGTATTTATATTTGAAATGAGCAAGAATATGGCGGCGAAGGCGTGACGCCGCGTGACTCACTTCCAGATTCCTATTGAAAATGAGCAATAATATGGCAGCGGGACATCTATTGTCAATGTAGGTGAAAAAGGTTTATTGAGTCACTGTAGTTTAATCCAGCTAATTACAGATATTTGTTTTTTAGTTTTTTTCTCGATAAAGGTCGTTAATTCGAAAAAACTACAAGAGAACAAAAAGTTTCTAAATAAGGTAGAAAAATTATTTTGTTTTTTAGAATCTACCAGCGGCCCACCGCAAAAAAGTTCTAGTGCAGAAAGGGTGCATGACCTCTGTAGACTCTGGCAAACCTTTGTTCCAAATTTGAGCTAAATTCCTCAAAAATTGCAGGAGCTATACAGAAAAAACTAAAAAATTTGAACACCCTGTAGATCGGTAACGAAGCGTTTGCGGACCTATGTTTCTTAGAAATCTTAGACATAAAATAACCAAAGAATCACCCCCTTACGTTTATACATGATATTCAGGAACACCCTGTATATTGCAGTATTTGGAAGCTTTTCGAAATCTTCACATGGCACTATCTGTACGCTACTACTTACTTTCAAAATTGTATTTATTCCATAGATTTTTGCAAAGGTAACTAGTTGGTAATAATAATTAAAACACAATTTGTATTTAAGCATAATACACAATAAAATGTATACATTATTTATTAATGCACACTATTAATAAGCGATGACCTTTTTAAAATATATAATTCTATTATGTATTGCATAAAATATGATGAAAAAATATGAAATATGATATGTCCTTAAAATTACAAAATTCACAATATAACTGCGCAAATATATATAATTTTTTTAATGGTTCCTTTAGGTGACATTATGTCAAATATATGCGTATTGTTACATTTGAGGCATACAATATAATTATTACTTTAGACAAATATTTTGTTGGTAGGTGGCGCAATAAGTTTGAAACAGGGTCCGAGAGATATCAACCAAATGACTTTTTGAATAAAAATCACTATTTTAAATCACAACAAAATGAATGAACTTCATGTACCACAAACATTATTGAAATACAAATGGAATGGTGATTATCACCCTTTAAGCCTCGCCGACTTGCAACAAAATAATGAACTGAACATCACTGCCAACATCATTTCTTCTAACTAAACTTCTTGGCAAAAAAAAATGGGTCAAGCAATTTTTAGCACCATATTCAATTTGTAATAGCTTTTTTGAAATTATTATTTTTTTTTATTGTTTTATTTTTTTGGTATTTGAAAGCCCATGTTGTGTATCACGTGGGAAAATATGATTATTTTGAAGGAATGCATTTTGCTGTTATATACAGGGTGAATATTAGATTGATGCAAAAGTACAAAAAGTTTGGATGTCTGCTATATTGGCAATATTATTATTTTTTTTTTCGGATTTGCAGGTTTTGAAAGCTCATTTGTTTTAGAGGTTTCACGACTCGCTTGCTTTTTTGCAGATGGCCCATTTCACATTATACAGGGGTCACAAAAATCAAAAGTAACGCGGAACCTCTAAAAAAAATTAGGTTCGAAATCGATACAACCATTTTCAAGCTACATCCCTTCAAACATTGTGCATGCATGCTTACAAGATTTTATCAACTTTGTTGTTTAGTAGTGTATCTGCTGCCAAAGGGCACTTATCAAAAAATTGGCTAACACATCTAGAGATATTGATACTAACTTACTTATCGCCTATACGGATATTCAAAAAAAGAAATATTGCCAATATGGCAGGCATCGAACTTTGTACTTTTGCATCAGTTTAATTTGTTTAATATTCACCCTGTATAATACTTGAGAAATGCATTCCTTCAAAAAAAAAAAATACAACATAAACAAAATGGGCTTTCGAATACCAAAAACCAAAAACCTCATTCAAAAAAAAAAAATCACAAATTGAATATGGTGCTAAAAATTGCCTGTCCCGGTTTTTTTTTTTTTTTTTGGCGAGCGGTCTAGTTATTATTGTACGCCGAATTATTTGAGTAATTAGGTGACTAAGGGCCAATGCTTTTAAGACAAATTGAACCTCGGTTAAGCTTATCAGAGGTTCGGATGTGACGTGAAATATAAGTCTGTACACGAAAGAACGTCTGGTTCGCAGTTAGGTTTTGTTGCAACTCTGTACCCAGACTGAAGAAGGAATGAGTCAATACTGCAATTTTCTGCTCAAGATAGTAAAAACAAAAATATTTTGTTATAAGTCAATATCAAAAAATATTTTTTTTTAATATGTACCAATGTATCCGAATTTTTCAATGGAAATAAAATTTTCCCAGCCCAGGTTTATAATAAGGCTAAAAAATAATAACTACTACATATATTATGATGAACCAGTAGTTTTGATAAGGCACAAATAAATCAGCAAAAAAAATCTCACAACGCCACCCACTGTATATACATTTAATAGGAATGGAATATCAGCATAAATATTTATATTTACCATGGCAGTTAGTTATGTCACTCATCTATATTCCATATGGACATTTATATAATGATTTTATCCTTCTATAGACTAGAATAAATTGCAATCAGGTTAAAAAGTCTTAAGCGGGCATCCATAATAGTGAAAACTGTTTTTTAATGTTAAAACTATGTATGTACATTTATCTACAACTAAAATAATAATACATGTATAAAAAAATCTTAAAATACACAATATACAGAAAAATAGGTATAAATAAATTAAATGGATGAAATAATTTAAAAATGTATAATTAAATAGAATATGACGATTTGAATACAATTCCCATAGCTTAGGACTAAAATTTTATAGAGAACAATGCAAACTTATCAACTTATTTAGTTCCTCAGTTATGTGTAGAGTTGAAATGTTGGTGTGAGATATTTGGTGTCTAATGTGATCCAAGAGGAAATTTTCGTTAATTTAAACATCTGAAAAACAGGAAACTTCACGTCCGGAATAGGAAAGAGCACACAAAATTAAAATTGTTTGTGGAATCATTTTTTTTATTAATATGGGGTCTGGTTAAAATTTTGACAGTTTTTGCAAAATTTGCTTTTATAGTTCCCAAAAAAATAAATACACAATTTCTATTTTTTCCATGAAACGGAATTTGTCTTCTATCCTATTTATTATTGCATCCCATCCATAAGCCTGACAAGATATGACAATTGTTTATACAATAAATGAATCACACAAAAAAAAAACAGAACAATTAAGTCACTTACGTTTCTCTCAGAAACCCAAAAGCAAAACTTTCTAGGGTTTCCTCAGATGAAAGCGACCCTCCCCTAAAGTGGTTATTGTTTTGTCGGACCAAGCAAAAATATACCAGACATAATAATTTTAAAAAATTTAGTTGACCTCATCTTCTAGGTAAGAAAATCATTAGTCTGAGTGAGAACAGTAGCCGTCACAATAAGGCTATGTTTGAGACACTTTTTTAATTTGACGACAATGGGCGGGTCCATTCCAGGTACGCATAGAATTTAATTCATTGGATAAAGAAGCATTGTTCTCTATTCCTCAAGTTCATCTATTTGTTAGAGTTACGAGACCTTTTTTGTCAGTAAACTGACTAAAAATTTGCCCCACTTACATGAAAAGCTTAATATAAACCCCAAATCTGACAATAAAGTGAAACAACCTGTTTTAGTAGCGCCCATATGGGATTACTAACTTCCGTTGTCATCATCCAAAAACTCTACATGGGTGAAGGGAAAATATCCTATTTTACCATTCAGTTCTCCTTCCCATTGACCATTAATGTTTGTTTTCATTACAGTTATGATGTCTCCTATTTCTAGTTTCAATGCTGTATCATCATAAGCGTTTGGAATTCTGACTTGCTTTACTCTGGCCTTAGCTGGGAGAATCCTCTGAAAATATAACAAAAACTTCAATAATAGCTTAGGACATCCAACAGATAAACTGAATCAGAGAAGAGTAGCAACGAAATTATGTGATAAATGCTGTGAAAGTGTACCTACAACCACGCACCACACTTAGTAAGAAAGTTTACTTTATCCTCAAGTTCATCTGGGTTGAAAATAATATGTATGAAATAGTAGTGCAAGAAACTGATTCATTTTGACAATTTTAATAATTACTTCTTGAAGATGAAATAATCTTACGGGCTAGTTTAGTGTTCTGTTAGTATTTTGGATGTTATTGCTGTTTTTGAGTGCTTCTGTTTTGTTCTCAAAATTTGGTATAACAAGGAGACCAAGTTATCAGGTTTATTACCATTTTGACTTTTTCTTGTTTGTTTATATTTTTCAGTATGGAGCTTACTACAAATTGTATTATTGTTTATGGATTTTGAAAAAAATTGGGACTGACTCCAGCAGATATTGTTTCTGTTGATTTCATTATGTCTACCTACAAATCAACTATTATGTAGGTAGGTATGTGATTACTTATAGCAATTAGTATTAGTATTAGTATTAGTCAGATAGTGACATATTTAGGTGCCCCATTTTCGCATACAAGCCTCGAAGAGGAGTGAAAATTACATCGATTTTGAGTAGGTTGAAGGTATTTCTACGAGTGGCTCCTGGGGCTAACACATGGAAAATTCGATTTCACTTATGTTACCCTAAAATGTACTTTTTCATTCGCGACACTCAAGCCACTATGTTTTCTTGCTACTGAAGTTGTAGATTTTCATCCTTCTGATGTGCTTGTGTGGAAAAATCGCCCAAAATCTCGATTTTTCCGTACAAGATTCCGCCCTTATTTCAAATCTTTAGCCACCTGCAGCACCCCCTTCTTTGTTTTCACGAAGCCAGGTTTTATTAATTATTTCTTTAGTAAACACGGCTTGCGAAAAAATATGGGCACCAGGACGTGACAGGACGTCTTTCATTTTTGTTACGGAAAATCGAATTTTCCATACGGAAAATCGAATTTTCCATACGTTATCCCCAGGAGCCACTCCTAAAAATACCTTCATCCTACTCGAAATCGATGTACTTTTCAACCCTCTTCGAGGCTTGTATGCGAAAATGGGGCACCTAACTATGTCACTATCTGACGATCTATATGGTTAATGAACTTATAATTCACATACCTATTTTATTTTTTTTGAGGCAGCAGTTAGCCAAGTTTCGTATTTAGAACTTGAACATTAGCTCAAAGTTAAATAATTTAATTTGCCCAATTTGAGTTTTAACTGATTAGCATGAATTGAATACCAATAAATTTTTAATGAATTCCTATGATGTAGGTAACTATCAGTAAGTGTTTCTTTAGTTTATGAAACTTATTAAATTCATGGATGTGCTAGCCATGTGTACTGAATAACGAATTATTACCTATGAAAGCTGACAAAAATTACGTCTTTTAGGATATGCACCAAAAGACAAACACAGGCTTTGGTTAGAATAATAGATAGGTAAATAATATGAACATACTAGTCCAAAAAGCTAAAAAGACAATTTTCACATGAGGAAAAAAATCATGATAAAATAAACTACATATACTGAAAAATATTAGACCAATGGGCAATGACTGAAATTTACCTGTTTTGGTTTTGGTTTTGACTCTGGTGTGCTACTAATGGAACCTTCTTGTGGCCTCAATCCCTCCACTGGTGAAGAACTTTCTTCAAGCTATAAAAAAAAATTATATTAGATACAAGAATTATTTTTGTTACATTAAATTGTAGGCATACATTTCAAAATTTCCAAAAAAATAGAGGACTCAGAGCTCAAAATATTTAATTACATGCCAAGTTGTAATGAAAACAATCAGATTGGCGAAAAACCTAGACTTTTTCAACTTAATCTGCCATAAGTTTTTTTCTAATGATGATTTCCAAATTAAAAAAAAAACTTTACTGTATAATACTTTTAATTATTTTTACCATATTTAAGTGGTCTAAACAAATAATTTGTTATTGATGAAAAAACAGCTGATACGACTCAACACCCCTCAGATACTGGGATTCAGGAGGGCAAAATACTTCTAGAACACTGGTCTTTCAGTGGAACTTGATTGGCCAAGCTCCTAGTCCCTATTCCTATATATGTTTTTATGTAGATTTTAGCACATCAACTCTAAAAGGACGAGGTTTCGGACAGTAGGTTTTTGGCCAGCAGACATAAAAGCAAATAGAAATAACCTGAAAATCGAAAATACGCCAAACAATAGAAACACAGAAAGGCGTTCTCCTGGTACCGCTTTGCTTAGCATCGGACAGACAATCAACCAGAAACACTTAAAATTGTCATAGATGTGAATTTTAGAGAACTCTTTGGCACAGTAAAACTTGAAATAAACCATTAATATGTGAGTACCTACTTATTGGAACAGTATACCTTCGATTGAATTCAAAGAAGCACAAAGCACAGGTTGGCGAATGTGAGAAAAGCGTTTCAGTCTGAGGTGAAGGGGAGGAAAAAACAGTTGCGATGGAATAGAGCGTGATAGAAACATTAGTTCGCATATTTGCAGCCGTTCAACTCTCGCTCGTCGCACTCTATGTTCTGATAGGCATTTAGAAGGAAATAATGAGGCATAATAATGTGAAAACGTCCATTTTAGGAAAATTAAACGCAAGGAATGTTTCATTTGAAGAGGATCGAAGTTTGTGAAATTTTAAATGTAGGTTCTACATTTTTTTGCTGTTTGATTACAAGTTGCTACCAAAAAATCCCCAACTTTGATGTCAATGTTTCCTTGAAACAATTAGGCCTTCCAATGAGTGTGAAAATCGAGGTGAAAATATATAAAATGAAAATTAATAATGATTAACCCTGTATATTACAGGTAATAATATCAAATTCAGACGTTGTGGCATAATTACCTATCGATATACATGTACAGGGTCCGCCAACGAGGACTGAACAGGGCCTTACATGTAACTTTTTTTTGTAGAATTTGAAAATGTTACTTGAAAAAAAATTGAACAAGAAAGGACGAACATCTTTGTTTTTTAAAATGGAATACCCGATTTTCTGTTTCATATTTGAAAAGCGAGCATGTTTTTACGTTATAAAGTTTGTTGATAATATTGTTAATATTATCGCAATCCTTTATGTTAAAAACACAATACAAAAGAACATCTTTTGTATTAAAAAAAAAACGCCTTATCCATAATTTTTCATTGCATTATAAGGTAATAATTCACCTGCCTGTTTTTTTTTTTAACAAGAATGCGATAATATTAACAATATTATCAACAGAATTTCTATCCTAGGATAGGTAAAAACATGCTCGTTATTCAAATACGAGATAAAAAATTGGGTATTCCATTTAAAAACACAAAGAATACGTCGTAACTCTTTTGCTCCTGTTTCAATTGCTTTCCAATTAAGATTTTCAAATTCTATGAAAAAAGTTACATCTTACTGCTATTTTTGTTTTCTCCAAAAAAACAGGAACAGGAAAAGTAAAAATTAGGGCCCTGTTCAGTCCTCGTTGGCGGACCCTGCACCTACATACTGATTTAACAAATAGAATGGCTTTAAACAATATGAAAATATATAGTCAAAAGATGAAGAATGTAAAAAATAGATTACTAAATATACACTTACCTTCTGGACATAGGGGACTGGTATACAACCTTCTTTTCCATTTTTATCTTTGGCTCGCCACCACTGTTCTTCTTCTTTAAATAACACTGTTAAAATATCACCTCTTTTGAAACTTAAGTCATCTTTTTCCTGAAAATGGAAATTTCCACTATGTATTATGAAAGTATAAGTTTCTTCTCAGAAAACTTGTCAAGTTTTCTGAAAAAATATCTGACATTGATTTATATCAGATTCAGTGTGACTAGTAGGTATGCCTATAAATAAAATGATTGGTGTTTCGAGTGGTACTTACTTTTTTCTTTTAAAAAGGAAATGAAAATCTGCAGGTGTATCACGTTTAGTTAGATTAATTTTGAAGGGGAAAAATATTATTCACAAGCTTCGTATGGACAATCTTTATTACTAATAAGTTTAAATTATTTTTTTTTTGTAAATAAATAAATAAATAAATAAATTAAACCAACATTTTGCTAGTGTGGTTTCTACCTTCCTCAGGGCTACGGAAAAAGAAGAACAATTTGCTATTAAAAATAGATAAAATTATCCAACAAAGGGCATCATGGAAAAAAAATTATATTGAATAAGGCCGCGAATAAACCATATTCGTCCAAACCTCAAACTTTGTTAGTGGTATTGTCAGTGTTCTGTGTTGCCACCAGAGCTGGCATCGTTACTTGAAAAAAGTAACGCGTTACTTTACAGTTACTTTTGCTTAAAAATAACTCGTTACTTAAAATTTACAGTTACTTTCGAATAATGATAACTTTATTTTCGTTACTTATTGGAAAGTAACGCGTTACTGTAACTTCGTTACTTTGAAAGTAACTTCTTTACTTTAAAAGTAGTTCGTTACTTTTAAAGTAACGCGTTACTTCAAAAATAACTATTTACGTCGAAAATTGCGTTATTCCTTAATTTGACTCACCAACACAGCAGTCCAAACCATCAAATAAGACCTATATGAAATGCCAATATGTTTTTAGTTTGTGAGTCCGACTATGTGGAAGAGTATTCTTGCAAAATTCAAACGGATTAAGGATTAAGCGACTGAATAGAGCACTTGATTTTGGACAAACCTGCTCTTTGAAATGTCCCAGTGTCTGCATATAGTGTCCTTAGAGCAGAGGCGGCGCGTGGTACGCCCAAAAACGATTATTTTGAGCTTTCAAAAGAAATTTTCTGTACTACCAACATTTTATTTGACGTACAAAGTTTTTGGATTACTTATTTTCCTTTTCCTCACTCGTCAATTATTTGTAAAGAAGATAAACAAATTGAGAGAACGAGTTACTTTCATAGTAACTAGTAACGCGTTACTTCCAGCGTTACTTCAGGAAAGTAACGTCGTTACAGTTACTTATCAATCAATCTGAAAAGTAACGAAGTTACCAAGTAACGCGCTACTTTCAGTAACTCGTTAAAGTAAAGTAACTTTTTTTTGTCGTTACTCCCAGCTCTGGTTGCCACACGTATAACTATTTATTTTTATTATTATTGTATAGCTGTATCATCTAGAAATGATAAACACAACACATTGCGAACTTTGTGACAATTGAGGTATGTACAAATATGGATTATTTGATATAATTGTACTCCATGATGCCCGTTGTTGGTTGATTTTATCTATCTATTATTTTTTATTCATTATTTGTGTATATTACAATTATTGTTATATTGTTGTTTATCCCAATGTTATTTTATTTATGGTTTATTCTAATGTACCAAATTTAGTGAATTTTATGATATTTATTTATTTTAGTGTACACACAAATCAGATTCCTTGAGAATTCATTGTACACTGTAAACATGTACTAACCCAGAAGGCTACTATATTATAAAGATTTTGTGATATTTTAAATATGTAATATCCAGGGTGTTCCTAAATTTCATGTACAAACGGAAGGGGGTGATTCTTTGTTTTATTTTATGATGAAAATTTCTAATAAACATACGTTCGCAAACGCTTCGTTACCGATTTACAGAGTGTGGAAATTTCAATATTCAAGTTTTTTTTTTATAGCTCCTGCAATTTTTGAGCGATTTAGCTCAAATTTGGGAGGCAATAGGAGCCAAATGATTGCACACGTCAAACGTTTGCCAGAATCTACAGGGTGATGTTTTTTCAGGGTTCATGCCCCCTTTTCTGCCCCTGAACTTTTTTGCGGTAGATTCTAAAAAACAAAATATGTAATATGTAATTTTTCTACCTTATTTAGAAACTCGTTGTTCTCTTGTAGTTTTTTCGCATCACTGACTGTTATCGAGAAAAAAATTGAAAAGCAAATCTCTGTAATTAGCTAAATGAAACTACAGTGACTCAATAACCTTTTCTACCTACAGTGGCAACAATAGAGGTCCCGCCGCCATTAAAATTTGAACACCCTGTAGAGCGGTAACGAAGCGTTTGCGGACATAGGTATGTTTATTAGAAATTTTGGTCATAAAATAAACCATAGAATCATTTCCTTCCATTTGTACATGATATTTGGGAATACCCTGTATAGTACTTCGTCTTCAAAATTTTTAATTGATTGTCTTAAATATGTGTGTTCGCAGTTTTAATGTTAACAGTTTTTTTTTGTTATTGTTGCTAAGATGTTCTCAATTTTTTACTGTTCATGGATCAATTTTTTTTGCGTTCTTCAATTAAAAAATTATTTCTGTCCAATTTTATAAAGAAATCTAATCTAAGTTAGTACCTATGTAATGTAAAGTAGATTGTTCTTCTTCTTCTGTAGCCCTGAGGAAGATAGAACACACACTACCAAAACGTTGGCCTTATAATCTAGACTTATTGGTAATGTCCACAAAGCTTGTGAATAAGATTTTTTCCCTTACAAAATTAAAATGAAGTTTAGTTTGCTATCTTTAATGAAAAGTATTTGAATCGAGTTTTGAATGATAATTTTACACTAAGGTGATTTTGATTCGCGCAGCTAGTGGAAAAAGATGTAGGTACATATTTCTAACTTTTTTTACATGCTGAAAGGGCAATACATTCAGTACTCACTCGAACTGCCAATCGAAAACACTATAGTACTTACATTGCTTTCAAAATCAAATTTAGCAATCACCCTTTCCAATTTCTTCTTTGCAGGCCTTATAAGCGGGGTTGTATCTAAATAATGTAATTTATAAAATGACACTAATTCAGAAAGACTTCTGAACAGTTGATCTCCAATCCTATAACTAGGCTGATCATTGTTCTGTTGCATTTTATTTATTATGTAGTGGCTTACTCTGCTGTCTTCCCTAAAAATTGATAAATATTTACCTATAACATGGTGAAAAATATATTTTGATAAAGATTTGCAGTTTTTTTTTTTCAATATTTTGCACCCTACCTGGCTCAATATTAGGTTTGTTCCAACACGTCAAAAACCGCCTCATGAACGGTCCAGAAACCACTCTGTATACGAAATGCGGGTTTTACGAACAAATTTTTGGCTTCGCGCAGAATCATGGCGGTGCATTGTACGGTTTCTTGATGTGTTGGGACAAAGCTATTATTGTGGGTGCTAAAGGTAAAAAAACATCAACAAAACTATACCTAGATGCCAAATGTTTATAGTAGTTCTCCAGTTATTACATTTCAAAAATGCTAGAAAGTGAGTGTTGAGTGTTAAAAATGGCTTATATTATTATGTTAGGTATAAGTATGACAAACTCGATGACAAACAAAAAACATTAAATTTAAATACAGGTAGTCCAGTAAATTTATGGGTTTTTCAAAAAGTTTACGAGGGCAGGCTGATTTTTTCAGGGCTGATTGGATACTGTTTCCTGAGTATTGAGCCAAAAATCACACTCGAAAGGCTTGTGTGTTTGGCCCTATTGGCTTGTTTCTTATTTATTTATTTTTTCGACAAAATAACCTTGATAAAAGGCATAAAAGCTGTACGTTATTATCTTTTTTGCTAGGTATTTTAATTCAGGCGCTACGGCCATTTTAGGGCTTCAGAATTCGGAAAGAAATTGAATAGCGAACCTGCAGATTATTGTACATAATAAGATTCTCTACCTATTACTTTGGTTTATGATATTTTATTGTAACTTTATTTCTTTCGCGTGTAGGGCCTTCGAGGCATGAGACAAATTTATTTGTTTTTGTCAAGGGACTAATGATAATTTTAAACCATAACATTCTATTTTGTTAACCTTATTGATGTTTTTCTCACTGCAAGGTTAATCGCTATTTTAGTGATTCACTATGTAAGAAATCGAAGAAAAGCGTCGGCAAATCGTCAAATGCATTAGTTGAACCTACATATCTATACTCAATGAATCTCATTTCCAACGTTTTTTAAGCTGGAAGAGCAAATTCAGCAGAATCGAAAATCAATAGATGGAACATTAAAGGCTCATTAAATGCTAATTGAATGCCCTAAGGAAAAATTTTAGGCTCCGCCAATTTTCGCGGAAATAAATGTTCTGCTAGCTTTAAGTTAAGAGTGCGCTTCTCGATGCTGAAAATCGCGAGTGCGCCTTTGCTATTTTAATAAAAACAGTTGCTTCTAGGAAATTTTAACCGATAACTTTTTTCAAGGATATGTTTATGTGCGTGTTTGACCAGTAATTTTTTTTTGATTTTTCTCATTTTATGATTTTTTTTTTTCAAAAAATGAGAAAAAAAAAATTAATTACTGGTCAAGCAAGCACAAAAGTACATTCTTAAAAACAGTTTTTGTTAGAATTCCCTAGATGCAACTGTTTTTATAAAAACAGCATAGTCGCAAACCCTATTTTTTCAGCATCGAGAAGCGCACTCTTAAGCCAGAAGAACATGACCAAAAATGTTACTAAAATAAGAAAAATTGCAATTCCACTTGCGGTCACATTAAAGGCTCCGGAAGTACACCAATCGCAAATTTCAGGCTCAATTACTTTTTTGATTAAGTGAGTTTGGAAAAGTACCCGGGTTATTATCGGTAAGTTTGGAAATGTGTGATTAAAATTGAAAACCAACCCAAACTTCCTCATTACAGCATCTGATTGGCCTTCAATAAGACACTAAGTTCACTGTCCAAGAGGTTTTCACGCCATGCTTGGCCGACCACATCCAGGCGATGCGTCTTTTCGCATCTTCACAAAAAAAAGTAATTGCGCCTGAAATTGGCGGAGCCTTTAATGAGCTTTTAATGTCTTGTGCAAATGGAATTGCAGTTTTCATTGTTTTACCCACTTTTTCGCACATGTTCTGCTGGTTTAAGTTAAAGCTAGCAGAACAGCCATTCTCGCGAAAATTCGCGGAGCCTAAAATTTCTCATCACAGTATTTAATTAGCCTTTAATGTATTCACAACGACTTCATTATCGGAACACTGATTTTCACTGTCAGAAGTTTTTCCGCCATGCTTGGCCGACATCACCCTCGCATCGCGACTTCTCGCATTTTCACAAGAAAAGTAATTGAGCCTGAAATTCGCGATTGGTGTATTTGCGGAGCCTTTAATGTCTGTGCAAGTGGAATTGCAATTTTCGTTGTTTTAGCCACTTTTCGCTGAAGTTCTGCTGGCTTAAAGTTAAAGCTAAGAGAACAGTAATTTTCACTAAAATTCACTGAGCCTAAAATTTCTCAATAGGGCATTTAATTAGCCTTTAATGAGCCTTGAATGTTCCATATGTTGATTTTTGATTCTGCTGACTTTGCTCTTCCAGCTCAAGAGACGTTCATTTCCACACCAACCAAGAGCTAGAACCTCAGCTAGAGCTTCTGGCGCGTTTTTTTTTAACATATTTCCTCTTTAGGCCTATTCCATGATCTACGTAAAAAACGGTGATGCTTCAATTTAATGTAGGTATGTGTGGAATCGCACTCTTTTCCTCTTGGTGAAGACATTTCAGGCGGGTCATCACAGCCTGAAATGGTCAAAATGACGTCGTAGTTTGTTGTGCGCATCTCGAGGCGCATCTGCTTCAATTTCGTTAATATCTTCGTTGTTGCTGTCGTTTTCCTCTGTTGGTAAAGTTGGAACGATTTCGCAAGTTGTCCCCGGGGTTGTCCCTGCACAATTTTTACAAATCGCTGAGCACTTCAGCCTGGTGTTTCGACAATCACAAGCGGATTGGCATGGTGTTTTGCATTGGCTGGAAATGACAATGACATTCAGCAATGCTGGTGGAGCACCAATACATGAAAATCAATGCTTAGACCATGTTATGTAAAGCTGCCTTCTTAAAATTCACAATGCTAAATACAGTTTCAGTTATTTTGAAAGCAAAAAATACATGCGTTGTTCAAAACTAAGGAATATTTATTGCATAAAACAATGCAGTATGTTATACCTACCTGATAAACAGTTATTGTTTGCACTTTTTTGGAAAAAAACACTTTTGCAGATGCCAAAGGCCGCAAAAGCGAAAGCAATAAGGTTGCAATAAAATATAATGAAGCAAAGTAATAGGAATATTAATGTTATAATTTTTTTCTGAATTCTGAAGCACTAAAATGGCCGCAGCGCCTTAAATAAAATAGCTAGCAAAAAAAGTCACTAGGCAAAGTTGATCAGAATGTAATAATTATCTTTAACTTTTATAAAGGTCAAAAAAAAAAGAACTCACAAGGCTTTCGACTGTGATTTTTTGGCTCAATACTCAGTCTCCAATCAGCCCTGAAAAAATCAGCCTGCCCTCGTAAAAATGTTTGCAGCCCACATACCACATATAAATTTTCTGGACTAAGAAGTATATTGTGCATGAAATGTGATCAGAATTACCAATTCAATCAAAAAATGTAATAAAAAGAAATTTAATAAGTAAGCAAGCAGGCTTAAAAAATGTAATGAAATATAGAAAATTAAAACTTTTTTTTTTTCAGAACTAGGTAAGTAGGTAATACATGATTATTATTGATACTTACTTCACACAAAGTACAAAATCTCCTACAGAAGTTGTACTATCTCTAACCAAAAATACTCCGCCTTCTTTTTCTGCCATTAAAAGGTCTTGTGCTTCTTGCCGATTAATGGCACCAAAGTACCAGCTAAAATGTAATACTTCTATTACGGAAAGCAAGATTTAGGTATTTATTTTATTTTTCTTTTGAAAGGAAATAAAAACGTTTCTAGATTTCCACAATTTTGAAAAACTAGGACTGTAAGATTTTTGACCATGAGGTATTATAGCTTCGTGTTAACTTTAGGGGGACCGAGTTGATTGAGGAATTGATTCAGGGTAGGACCAGGGGTGAGAGGCTTTCTTTGGATGTATCTCTTTCTGTTGTACTCAAGTCCACAACTTATTAAAAAACACATTTTCATCAAAAAAACGATTCAGGTAGCTAAATTTAAAACTCTCCATAGAACATACTGTAAAATTGGCATGAGACTATTTTGCGTTGGCTAAGAATGTTTCAGGTGAATTTAGGATCTAGAATAGGTATTTTACAATTATTTACAATATACCTATAATTTCCTAGTGTTTCTAGAATCACACAAAATACCAAAATATAGTAGGTTGAGTTTCCAGAATACAAACTTTCTGAAAAGTTTAACTTGAGTCTATGAGTTGACTTCAAATAGAGTAGCAGATAGCAGATACCTATTTAAGATTTATTTCAAAATACACTATCAAAATAGTCTAGAGAACAAGAAATATTTGTCTTTTAATTTTAAGACAGAACAACTTTTTTTTGAAGATAAGGTAGGTAATGTGGGTATCATTTATTGAACAAGTCTTATCAAATTTACCATATCCGGCGTTTTTTGCAAGCTTGTTCAGTTTACATATTTTATGAATGGAATCAGCAAAAAAAATTCTGATAAGTATAGGTATTATCTTGTTCTCAGACCATTTTGATGTATGAATTTATTATCTTACATCATGGAATTTCAAAAGGGAGAAATCACTCTTGTGAATTTTTCTAGCTAATAAATGTTATTGTTTGATAATATGCAAATTCGTCTACCTAATTTGGAAGAACTCAAATACCCATGCCTACTTAATATTACCTACTGTATGTTTTAGAAAATAGGACACAACATAAATGCATTCATAGTATTATGAAATTTTCATTACCCTGGGTAATGGCAACAGTACATGTTTTCTATACCATTATGGAAACAAACAAAACTTTCATGGACTGATAAAGATTGGCAATGCACTATTGTGTGTTGTTGGACAAACTATTTTTGATACTACCCACATATCAGCTAAATTTGCATTTCAAATATAAAGTATAAATATGAACTAAATTACCTGCTCTCATCCTCATGATCGAATAAATTATTCATATTTATATACAAACAATATTTGAAAAAATTACATCAAACAACCAAATGACATTAAATAATTGCCATTATGGAACACATTATTATGAACAAAGACACTATAAAACTTGAGTGTTCCTGTTAAAATTAATTATTTTTAATTAATTTTTATTTTTGACTGGTTGATACCTAGTTTCCTCATAGAGCTGCTGCTCTTTAATGTAAGATAAATCTTTTTTTGTTTTCAAAATAGACGTTGAGCAGCACCATTATGAGATTTTCGAGTTTTTAGTATTAGCACACCATTTCAATGAACCTTGTAAATAATTGAGTTAGTTAAATGCTTGTCGCGATTAATTAGGGAAATTTCCAGGAACTTCGAACTAGAAACCTATTTCCATTCCCAATAACAAATGGCGAATAGCGACTCTGACTTGACTGAACCCGAACCCAGACTGAACTGAACAAGCTGGTAATGAAATGACCGAACTGACTGAACTGACGGACTTAAGACACACAAACATGTCAATGTCAACTTTATTGGAGGTTTTCATTCATATCCGCTAGATCTGCTCCAAGCAAATCCTGGACCCTGCACCCCGAACCCCGATTCTCGAAATCAAGGTATAGTATCATGAGAATGATTACTTATTAGGCAATTCAAACCACGTGACATTCAAGATGGCGTGGCGGCTACACATGGGCCAAAAAACACAAAAAAATATCTGGTTTCTGCCCGAGTTAATAGTTTAGGTACCTAGTCAACAAATATTTTATTAAATAATGAAAATCAAAGTTGTAAGCAAAACTGTATGCAAAATAATTTAAAATACGCATAAAAACATATTCAAAACAAACTTGTTTGGCCGCCACGCCACATTGAATTTTCCTTTTTGACAGATGGGCCGAGATTCTAAAATCACGATTCGACACACGACTCGACAACGATGCCGGCCTTGTCGTGTCGAAAGGTATAATTCCAATGAGATTTCTAACCTAGAATCGTCGGAAAAATCGTCTCGTTGTCGAATCGTATGTCGAATCGTGATTTTAGAATCCCCGACATGGATTGAATTGCCTAATACTGCCCCTCCTACTTTGAGAATCGAATTTGAGCTGTTTTCCCGCGTGTGCTTTTTTGAAACTGGTTTGAAAGAGTAGCTCTGTTCCAACCGACATGAGAACCGGAACAGAGCTAGTATATTCTCGCGATGAACCCTTGACGTCAAATCAAAATTGGTTCAAGTTCAAACCGTTTCGAAATACAATCCAATCCGAGATTTAAAACCATTTTTTAGCGTCGACAAGTTATGACGTCATGTGAAAAGGATAATAGGCACTACTAAGGAGTGCTTATCGGACTAGTTTTTGGTTATAACCGTCATATTGGTGTGTCACCATTTTTGACGTCATATTTAAGTCGTCAGCTGTTTGCACTAGCGGCCATAGTTTAGAATTTAAATTTATGAAGAAAATTGTTATTTAATTTCGATTAACATAATAGGCAAAGTCTGCAAAGAGGAAGATGGAAACAAAATCTAAAAAAGAGTTGTTTTAGAATGTTAATTAATGTAGTGAAAGCAAATAAAAGCAATAGCCCGCGGAATCATAACCTGTAGTGCACACAGCCTACGTGCTGGTGAGAAAGTACATGCTCCCTACGTCAAAACAGTCACAACTGGTGATTTAGCGTGGTGGAGGGGCTTCAGATTTGTTCCACATAGGCCTTATCAGGATAGGCTATCCTGTAGTAGTAGTGTGTATTATTCTTGGTCATGTGACACTGTGTTGAATCAGTTTGAAGTTAAAAATTAAAGATTAGACAATTTTTCGCGAGGATAACCAAGTGATGTGTCAATTGTGTCATACTCCCCTCACTCCCCCCAACAAATTCTGGGATACTCGAAGATCAAAAACACTTGATGATTTCTTCTGTGAGAACCAATGAACTGTGAGAACAGACTGAAAATCACCATTTCTACATTTAAAATCGACGAAAAAATTAACTCACTAGCACAGCCTGAATCCCAAGTCAAGATTGAGGTCTGCGGGTGACGCCATCACTATAGGCTACTGGTAGTGACGTCTTTCGCAGGCCCAGAATTAGGCATTCCAACCTCCTGTCAAAGAAATCCAAAATGGCCGGTCATTGGCACACAAATATAGGTAAACATGACGTTAAATGTGTTTTAGTGTATTTGAGAACATAATTTTTCTGTATTTTCATTATTTGGAATTCCCAGGATTTTGTGATAATTTTAATTTCAAACATGCTACGCATTTTAAATGAATTATTTGGCCAAAGAAGACAAAAATGGATTAGTGCTATGAAATTCAGTTTTCAATGTTTTCTTCATATACCGACCGGTTTGCAGCTTCTTTGCAAGTTGCTTCAAGTTCAACTAATAGGGTTTTCATTTCATTTGTACTGCTTTACTACTTTTCTTGCTTCAAGCAGATCTCAAGAGCAGATCGGCATTCATTTGTCCGATCATATAATATAGGCTCATAAATAGCAGGTCCTAGCAGATCTTTCTGATTTTCGAGCAGGTAGAGCAAGTACAAATGAACAGCCTATAAATATTTGCTTTGAATGTAACCGTACTGAACTTGCCATTTTTGGAAAATAATAATTTCTATGTAGCCCCAAACGAGGAACCAATCCGAGCCTTATCAGTTCCGTGAACACCTATTTAATTACTTTTCCCTACTTCATAAGGTAAATTTTCCAGGTAAAGCCTAGTACTCATAACTCCGAAATTCGCATTTTTTTGACATTGCGTTGACAATTTGACGTTTTATGCGTGTCTCAAACGTCAAATTGTCGAAGCAATGTCAAAAAAATGCGAATTTCGCAGTTATGAGTACTAGGCTTAATAATGAGGATTTTATGATTAAACCTCCACAGGTAAATTTTGCAGGTAAATAGGGCTAAATTAAATTAAAATTCCATCTGTTCCCTATAGTTTAATGGGTTTGTGTGCCAATGACCGGCCATTTTCTTTGTCAAAAGTCACGTGATTTGGAATGCCTAATTGGATGGAGAGTTAGGGAAGTATGACACAATTGACATATCACATAACCCAGCATAATCAGCTGCCGGATTCTATTTTACGGGTCGAGTCTAAATTCGTATCGAATTGTCAAAATAGCGATACTATTTTTCGATACGTATTACAAGGTGCGTCCGGAGCTGTCCTATTCGATATCGACACAATAGACCTTTCTATTTTTACCTGTATGCGCGCGCAACACGAGGCAATGCATTTTTATTGGCTAACTAGTACAGGTGTGAAGTAATCCTTTTGCACGCTGGGCATCTTCTTGTCCTTGTTCATTACCCGTGGTCTGACAAGGATAAAATTATGCTTGATATTTAACTTGACGTAGCTTGAGAAGTGATCGATTTTCAATTGTTTGTGTTGTTGATTGACAAATACGTTGCACGTCACGCGGTTTTCCTCCTTCCTTTTTTATCCCGTGCAAATAATAAGGACGGATTGCTATACGTAAGTCTAACATAATTTGGTACGTTTTGCCTCGTCTTGCGCAATAAGCGTTCTGCGTCTTTTTCTATCTAATAAAGTTCTCGTATTATTACCTCTTTGTCTGGTAAAATAGATAGGTCTATTCGACCCGACTCGTAAAATAGAATCCGGGGGTAGATTATGCCAAGGAAAATACACACTCTAGGAGTGTTTATCGGCCTCGTTTTTGGTAATCGCCGCCATATTGGTGTGATACCATTTCCGACGTCATAACTAAGTCGTCAGCTGTTTAAACCAATGAACTATAACCAAAAGCTGGAATGCGAACACATATGGCGAACGGGAGGCCTAGTGCGGCTGCTGCGGAGGGGATACCTGTTTTTGTCGCACTCATTATGTTAAATGGCGAAAATTGCTTCCAACACGTATTCCAATTGATGAAACCTGTGAAGGGAAATATGACAGCTTGAAACACTTGAGCTACTCGCTCCGGTGTTTAGTCGCCCCCGATTTGCAGGGAACAGATGCGTGGTGCAACAAACACTTTTCGAAAGGAATAAGCGCGTGAAGCCCCGGAGCTGTTCCGGAGCTCCTCCTAGGTGTGAAAGGAATACAACTAATGTGTGCGCATTCCAGTTTTTAGCTATAGTTCATTGGTTTAAACAGCCTACGTGCAGGGCGAGAAATAACATGCTGCCTACTTCACAACTGGTATTCTGGTGTGGGGGGAAAGGCGGGATTTGTTACACACAGGCCTTATGAGGATAAGCCATCAAGTAGTAGTAGTGTGTATCATCCTTGAGATTATGCTTGATTATTATAGTTGTATTCCTTTCAAGAGTTAAGAACACTCGAGCTACTCGTTCCGGTGTTAGTCGCCCACGATTGGCAAGGAATAGATGCGTGGTGCAACAAACACTTTTCGAAAGGAATAAAGCCTAGTACTCATAACTGCGAAATTCGCATTTTTTTGACATTGCGTTGATAATTTGACGTTTTATGCGTGTATCAAACGTCAATTTGTCGAAGAAATGTCAAAAAAATGCGAATTTCGCAGTTATGAGTACTAGGCTTAAGGGAGGATTTTCATGCATCCGTTTTTCCGTCGAAATATGTCCGTTTAACATTCTATTCTGACATAATCGTATATAAATATGTCAGAATAGAATGTTAAACGGACATATTTTGACGGAAAAACGGATGCATGAAAACCCTCCCTAAGGGCGTAACGCCCCGTAGCTGTTCCGGAGCTCCTCCTAGGGGTTAAAAAATACAACTTATGCAGCACGGAAATTACACATTACACAGGATAGCTTATCCTCATAAAGCCTAATAGGTACTCATCCCCGATTTTTATTTTACGGATTTTTTTTCTATTGGTCGAATATATTTAAATTTGACACAGCGCGAAAATATTGGGGATATCTCGGTCTGTCATTGGTTTCCACAGAAATCAAAAACCAGTCAGGGCCAAATTCGGTTGGTTGAAAATAGTCAGGAAACTGGTTGTTGGCGATTTGGACCAATCAAAAACGCTCGATCTTATCGTGTTGAGTGCGCTCGGAGTTCACCGAGTGTAAAGCCAAACTCAGCCTCACTTATTAGTGGTAATTTAAGAGCGTCGTTTAGTTAGCAGACAGCTGAGAAGAAATAAGAACAATCAGTCGTTTGGAAATAACTTGAAAATATTTGGAAACGTATACTTCGAGTTTGGAAACCAAAAGTTGTTCATTTATCATCAATATTAAACTTAGTTCAATGGCCGTTGCACCGTCCATTTTAAGGGAGGATTAACGATAATCAACACTTAAAGTGACAGTTTTACATATAAAAATGTCACTTTTAGCATTGATTATCGTTAAACCTCCCATGAAATGGTCAATGCAAACCAATCAACTAAACAAACACACTGGAACGGTGGCTGCCTATTTAGGCAATTTTTCGCAAGGATAATCAAACATAATCT